GTTTCCCTCCTGCGCTTCCCTTCGGAGCAGGTGAGTCCTGAGCCCCGGGGACGCGCTCTCCGCTCTGGAGCTGAGCAGGGGCCCCAGATTGCCGCCGCCGGAGAGGCCTGCGTCCCTAAGACCCTCCCGCCCGGGTCACCTGCAGACGGCAGCCTAGAGGTCTCGCTCTAACGGCTGGCACACCTGTAATTTGCCGCCACCGAGCCCTAGAGTTGGGGAGGAAGGGTGAGCAGTTCATGCCTGGAGCCCAGAGTCCCCAGCTCCGGCTTCCAGAAATGCCAGCCGCTGTGGGTCGGGAGCCAGAGCCTTTGTTCTCGGCTCAGCTGTGCCAGTGTCCCTCGCTGGGCCTTCATCTCCCTACCCGCAAAGTGAGAAGGGTCTTTCGGTGGGTCTCCGTAAGTTCCAAACAGACTTAAAGTCATGTCCTTGACCAGCTTCCTCTAAGACATGTCCCAGGTTCACCAGCCACGTCCCTTCCTCGGCAAACACGTGGCTGCACTCGGAATTCTGGACCCTCAGATCCCTGCAGGAACCCCGACTCAGCTCTGGGGAAAGACGCTGCGTCCAGCCTGTGGCCGACAGGCGGAGGAGTTTGTTTCCTGTGCGTTAAGGCAGTAGTTCTTTCACTGCTGTCCACCCAGGCAGGTGTTGTTACCTCCATTAAAGATGAAGCTGGGCCCAGGCGGTGTGGCTCAGTGGTTGAGCATCATCCTATGAACCTGGAGGTCACAGGGCACACGCCGGCACTGCTGGCTCAATCCCCAGTAGGGGCCATGCAGGAGGGAGCCCATTGATGTTTCTCTCATTGATGTTTCTTTCGCTCTCCCTTCCTCTCTCTGAAATCAATAAAAACATATTTTAAAAAAAAAAGACGAAGCTGGGGCTCAGAGAGGCTTAAAGGCAGGTAGGACCAGGCAGCTCTGGTCTGCTTTTTGTCCTATGCTGTACAGGTTTGCCAAAAAGATTTTCTTTCTAATTCAATATGCCTAAGCAGTGGAAGGAAGCACTGGCCAAAGAGTGGAAGTTTGGGTTCTAGTGCTGGCTATGCTGCTGACTCACTGTGATCTTAGGTAAATATCTGCTCCTCTCTGGCTCAGTCTTCCCTGCTGAACAGCCAAGGGTTTGGTCAGATGGTCTGCAAGGACCCTTCTGTCTTTGGAATTGCTAACAATAGGAATAGCAATCATAATTGTTTCCTTATCTTGACCTACACAGCCCTGCCTGAGCTGGCCCCTCTCTACCCCAAGCACCAGACTCCTTGCCCTGCCTCAGGACCTTTGCACTTGCTGTTTTCAGTGCCAGGAACACTTAGCCACCTCTCTTTCCTCAATAGTCATTCTTCAGATCCCCACTGAAACTTCACTTGCCTAGGAGGTTCCCTGACAAAGACCAGATAAGGTCCTTGGATTTATAACTTCATGGTTCATGCTGCATTCATTAAGCCTAAGTGTCTGTGTAGTTCTTTGTATAATATCTGTATCCCCTACTATTTAATGCTATAAATGCCATGAGATCCGGAACCCTGTCCAGTTCCCAGCATCTAGCACATAATCAGTGTTCAGAAAATTGTTGTGCAATGAACAGATAATCTCATTTAGTCCAATAATCTTGCGAGGTTGGGTCCTTGTGTTCTTACCCATGAGGAGACAGGGCTTCCAAGAGTGATACTCCCAGGGCCACACACTGAGTTGTCAGCACCAGAATTTGAATCCAATCTAAAACCTGAACTCCCACTTTACTTGCCGTCTCATTCCAGGATCTTCTGCTGTGAAGACATTCCCCAAGTACCAGAAATTCTGACCCACGCAGCCCAGAAAGAGACAACCATTAGGTTGTAGAAGTGTGTGGTCCAACTCGGTTTCCCCTTGGCCCTTGGAACGTAAGGTGGATCTGGAGTAGACTTGGCCCCTCCTGCAGACCCATGACGCACCAGCTACAGATACGACTGCTGACGTGGGACGTGAAGGACACGCTGCTCAGGCTCCGCCAGCCCGTCGGGGAGCAATATGCCTCCAGCGCTCGGGCCCACGGGCTGAAGGTGGAGGCCCCAGTCCTGGAACAAGCCTTTGGGCAGGTGATCAAGGCGCAGAGCCACAGCTTCCCCAACTATGGCTTGAGCCAGGGCCTCACCTGCCGCCAGTGGTGGCAGGATGTGGTCCTGCAGACCTTCCACCTGGCGGGTGCTCGGGATGCCCAGGCTGTGGCCCCCATCGCTGACCAGCTGTACAAAGACTTCAGCAGACCCTGTACCTGGCAGATGTTGGAGGGAGCTGAGGACACCCTGAGGGGGTGCCGAAAACGAGGTCTGAGGCTGGCAGTGGTCTCCAACTTTGACGAGCGACTAGAGGGTATCCTGATGGGTCTCGGTTTGCGGGAACATTTCGACTTTGTGCTGACCTCTGGGGCTACTGGCTGGTGCAAGCCGGACCCCCGCATTTTCCAGGAAGCCTTGCGGCTTGCTCGTGTAGAACCAGCAGTGGCGGCCCATATTGGGGACAGTTACCACAATGATTATAAGGGGGCCCGGGCTGTAGGCATGCACAGCTTTCTAGTAGTTGGCCCGGGGCCATTGGACCCTGTGGTCAAAGACTCTGTACCCCAAGAACATATCCTCCCCTCACTGCCTCATCTCCTGCCTGCCCTTGACCGCCTGGAGAACTCATCCACAGGGCTGTGAGTCTGGTGAGGGAAGCGGCTGGGCCCAACAAACATTACAGACAGGAAGCCCTGTCCTTCCCCAGATCTGACCTTTACCCCCTCCCTGTAAACTCCATAATGCATTCTGACTATAAAGCAATGAGTGTGAGGCTTTCAGCCCTGCCCCACCTAACCAGCTCCTGGTCTCTGAGATGGTTCATTCATCACACCTGCATCCCTTTTTTCACAAATCTGCTTCACCTCCAACAAGATTTACTAAAGGCCCAACTAGCTTCAAAGTCAGGTATCTTGAAACTTGGTTTTAGCAGCAGGGTCCTTTTGTCATAGGAGAGCTTATGTGGAACCCCAATATGCAAAACAGGAAAAAAGGAGACACTGCGAGGGTGAAGCAAAGGTCCTAGGACCCCTCGTTCAGGCCCTGAAGCCAGTGGTTCTCAACCTTCTGGCCCTTTAAATACTGTTCCTCATGTTGTGACCCAACCATAAAATTATTTTCGTTGCTACTTCATAACTGTAATGTTGCTACTGTTATGAATCGTAATGTAAATATCTGATATGCAGGATGGTCTTAGGCAACCTCTGTGAAAGGGTTGTTCGACCGCCAAAGGGGTCGCGACCCACAGGTTGAGAACCGCTGCTCTACAACTTCCCCCACCTGCAAAGTCTAAGGTCAGAGGAGCTTCATTTGAAAATCAGGGTGCTAAGCTGTGCTTAAGGACATGTCCTCTAAGACAACATAGTCTAGTCAGATTTTAGACAAACAACGCCATAATCAGTCATGAGAAGAAACTTGATCCACACACACACACACACACACACACCTCCTGCATATGTTACGTACTCTGCTAGTTCTTGATAGGCATATAGAACCCTCAAAGCTACCTAGTGGGCTTAAGTAGTATGTCTTCCACTTGACAAGGGATTCAGAGGTTTAGCCTGCCTGAGGTCACAGCTAGTACATGAGGGAGCCAGAGTTCCAATTTAGGCATGTCTGACTCCAAAGCCCATTCATTGGCTTGACCACTAGTTTGCAAGTAGAAAGGGATCCATGTCACATGAGACATAGTGCAGCTGAGGTCCTGGAAGAATAGGGACGGTGACCTAGAGGGTGTCATTCTTAAAGGACACCCCAGTCATAGGGGGTTAACAAGGGGTAGGAAAGCGCAGGGGACAGGGACCAGAGCCCAAGGTGGCAGGAGTGTAAATGTGGGGAGAATTACTGGGAATTGAAGTTGCGTTTTAAAAATTCCATGTCTCTTCCTGCCTCTCCCTCTTCACACACCTCTCTACTTGGTATTTACTGGACACCTCTGTGCCC